CCTATTGCCTCTCCCTTCTACCTTCTCTCTCTCTCTCTCCCTCTCCCTTCTCCCCTCTCCCCTGTTCTTACTCACCTCAGTCGCGTCTGCAGCAGCAGCTAGCGGATGTGCCCTTTGAGGAGATTCAGCGCATGAAAGAAGCCGGGGTGGGCTGGATTGTCTTTCACGCCTCTCGCTTTCCTTTGCTCCCCTCTCCCATCCCCTCTCCCCGCTCCCCTCGCCCCTCATTCTTCTCCCCTTTTCTTCTTCCCCCTTCCAGGCGCGCCTGCACCAGCAGCTAGCAGACGTGCCCTTTGAGGAGATTCAGCACATGAGAAGCCGCGGGTGGGCCGCTGCCCCTCTGAGAGGGACTGGGGAGCTTGGTGGGGTCGGGGGGGAAGCCAGGCCGGCATTGGTGCTCGTGCTCGTGCTGATTCTGATTCTGATTTTGTCTCTAGTGATGGTGACGAGGGTGGGGATGGTGGCGAAGCTGGGAGGAGGAAAGGAAGGGATAGAGGGAAGGGAGCGAAGGGGGGAGGAGCAGGAGGGGAGGCAGGGGCAGAGAGCGGAAGTGGGGAACAGGGCGGTGGTGGGGTTGAAGCGAATGAAGGTGCTGGCAGAGGCGGTGAGGCGGCGGGCCAACAAGAACCGACCCATGGAGCTTCCTGCTAAGAAGCCGGTGCCTCGACTGAGACAAGTGGTGGACGCCCCTAGGAAGGTGAGATCAGGTGACTGAGACAAGGGTTGAAGCGCTTGAACGGGCTGGCAGGGGCGGTGAGGTGCCGCAAAGAGGCGGTGCGGCGCCGGGCCAACAAGAACCGACCCATGGAGCTGCCGGCTAAGAAGCCCATTCCCGACTGAAACAAGTGGTGCACACTCTCAGGAAGGTGAGATGCGGATGGGATGGGATGCTGAGGTAGCATCAGCACATACAGCGGCAGGCTGGCTGGCAAGAACCCACCCATGGAGGTAGCTCACTCAGCTGCTGGGTATGGAGCACAGCCTACATACCTACAGCTCAGCTCACTTAGAGTTCATGCTGGCGCAATTGAGACTAGTGGCTTTTGAGTCGACTCAAGAGCCACCTCGTTACAATGGCACACGGAACATTTAGAGTCGACTCAAAGCCCACCTCAGCTGCTGGGGAAGGAGTTGAGCCTTCCGTCCTAGCAGCTCAGCTCAAGTATAGTTCGTGCCACGAGCGATTGAGACAAGTGGTGGTCTGGTCGCACTACCTTCCCAACAGCTGCAGTGATGTTGGTGTGTGGGGGAGCAGATGAGCAGTGATGATGCGGTGGTGTGTGGGGGAGCAGATGAGCAGTGATGATGCGGTGGTGTGTGGGGTGTGGAGTAACACGAGCTGTGATGCTGCTGTGCATGTGCTTGTGCCGTCAGGTACCCCCCTGTGTCCCCCCCGTTTTCCCCCCATCTCCCCACATGCCCCCGCTTGTCCCCGTAACCCCCCTATATCCCCCATTTCTTCCTATCTGTTATTCCCCCATCTCCCCCCCCACCCACTCTGGTCTCCCCTTATCTTCCCCCATTCCCCCCCATCTCCTCGAGTTTCCCCGATTTTTTTTCCGAGTCTCCCCCAGCCAGCCTTCTCCCATCGCCCCATTCCCCCCACCTCCCCAAATCCTCCTCAAATCCTTTCCTCCCTTGGTTTGAGAGAGTGAATGCCACCATTCTCCTCCAATCTCCCCAAATCCGCTTCAATTCACTCAATCAATGTCCCCAAACTCCCCCAAACTCCCCCAATCTCCCCCAATCTCCCCAGCTTCCCGTATCTCCCCCAATCCCCCTCAATCTCACTCGATCTCCAACCATTTCCGACGTCTCCCCCCCCACCCATCCGTCCCTACACCCGCAGGTTGTTCGGGACCCGCGATTTGAATCGCTCTGCGGGGATTGTTGAGGCACATCCCCATCCCTCCCTTCCCATCCTTCCCTTCCCATCCCTCCCTTCCCATCCCTCCCTTCCCATCCCTCCCTTCCCATCCTTCCCTTCCCATCCCTCCCTCCCCACCCCCTCCCCCCTCCACCCCACATCCTCCCCGCAACTGCAGGTTGTTCGGGACCCGCGATTTGAATCGCTCTGTGGGGAGTACGACGAGGGGAGGTGGGCAGTGGGGGAGGAATGGGAGGGGCAGGGGGGGTTGGTGAGGAGTGGGTGAAAGGGGATCCCTCCTGAGAAAGTGGTGGGAATGAGTGTATGAGGAGAATGGGAGAAAGGGAGTTAGGATGTGCACGGACACTTGAGGCGCCTCATGAGGCGATAGCAGATAGGAGAGGGGAGATAGGAAGACATGTCATCATGCACCGTTTGTTCCCAACCTCCCTCATGCCTTGTTGCCACCTGTTGATTCCGCTCAGATATGTCACGGCTCAAATACGTCACGGCTCGCACTGCCTTGTCACGGCTCGCACTGCCTTGGTTCGCAGCATTGCCCTCTCTGAATCTTGGCGAATGCCCTGTTTCTCGCTCCGTTTCTCACTGTTTTGAGGTAATAGCTGTTTTTGGCACTGTTTCTGTTCTGTGCTCTTTATTACCAGGTTCAAGTCTGCTTACAAGTTCCTCTATGCAGAAACACTTCCCAAGGAGAAAGAGGTAAGCCGAGATTAACTGGATGTACATAAGAGAGGAGTGGAGAAACAGAACCGTTTTGAACGTCTTATGAAGGCAATGCTGCTGTTGTTTGTGTTGTGTTTGTGAGATTCCGTGTTGCGTCAAAGTGCTCCCCCTTTCCTAGGTGACTTCTGAGTCAGCTCAAAACTCATTCTGTCTCTCCCCTAGGTGACTCACCCCCCTTGCCTTCACTCACCCCTCCTTGCCTGCGCCCACCCCTCCTTGCTGCCACACCGTTACCAGGAGCTGCAGAGGCAGCTGAAGAGGGCCAAGGATGAGGAGGAGCGGAAGAAGATCAAGCGGCGTCTCGCACAGATCGTAAGCTGCTGTGCTCGCCCACGCCACGCGTGCTGTTGCCGGATTTTAATTTCTCTTTCTGGTTTCAGAGAGCTATAATGAACGAAGAGATTCATCATCTACCCACACCCGTCATTCCCTCTCTCCCCCTCACCCACCCACACCCTCGTGTTCTGTTCCACAGGAGCAATCACTGAAGAGTGAGAGGCAGAGGCAGAAGAAGGTGGGGAGGGAGATGGAGCTGAAGCGGCAGGAGAGGGAGGCTGTGAAGGCCGGCAAGAAACCCTTTTACCACACCAAGTGTATGTACTTGCGTGTTTTTGTGCTTGAGTGCTTGTGCCCTCTCATCAGCTCATAGAAACCCTTTTATCACACCAAGTGTATGTGCTTGCGTGTTTGTGTGCTTGAGTGCTTGTGCCCTCTCATCAGCTCATAGAAACCCTTTTTATTACACCAAGTGTATGTGCTTGAGTGTTTGTGTGCTTGAGTGCTTGTGCCCTCTCATCAGCTCACAGAAACCCTTTTATCACACCAAGTGTATGTGCTTGTGTGTTGTGCTTGAGTGCTTGTGCCCTCTCATCAGCTCACACCCGCTTCAACTCACACCACACGTCCCTCCTCCGTTGCTAGTCATCCCACCTCCCCTCGCCTGCTCCAGCCCACCCACCCTCCGCCCTGCCTCTACCAACACGCCCTCCTCTACCCCCAACCCCACACCCCTCTTCTCTTTGCTTGCCACACATCCCCTTTCGACTTGTGTTGGCATCCTGCATTGCTTGCGGTGTGGTCTGGTGCGGTGCGGTGCTGTGTGGTCATGTGGTGTGCACCATGTGGTGTAATGTTTCCCTGCAGCGTCTCGCCGGCGTGAAGAGCTGTACGAGAAGTACCAAGAGCTTAAGGTAAGCCTGTTGGCTTTCAAGACCTGCTCAATACGCCACACAAAGCACGGGGTTGAGTTTTTCTGGCTTCTCCATTGGCATTACTTGCTGCTCTGGAATCATTTAGTGAGCGTCAATATCACGGTCTTACCGTATGTCTCTCCATAACCAAACTGGTTGTTTCCATCCTTTGATTTCTTCGACCCTCGCCGTTTTCCTCTGTGTGTGTGTTGCAGGCAGGGGGCAAGCTGGAGTCATTTATGGCGAAGAAGAGGAAGAGAAACGCGGCAAGGGAGCACACCAAAGTGCCGTTCCGTCGAGAGCTCTAGCAGGCTGAGTGCATATGAAGAATGACGGAATTACCAAATACCTTAATCACCCGGATATAAGACCCTAGGGTCTTATGAAAACTACGGGAAAAAATGGTGGGGGGTCTTCTCATATGGTACCGTATTACCCCGGATATAGGCGCATCTGCGCTTATAATAAAATCGGTTTTTATTAGGGGTGGCGCTTGTAATTGAATCACGGCCATAAGCGCCGGCGCTTATATCATGGCAAAAATGATTTTGTGAATTTAAAGTACCAAATCGAAGCCCGCAGTAAGGCGAACACAATTGTGTAACGTGCGCGTGAGATAATGCACGAAATCCCGCCGAAAACTGCCGCGCTTCGATTCCCGACCGCACAAACCCCGTCCAGGAGCAGGGAATCTGCAAGCGCTGACGTGAAAGTTGCCATGCGGCCCAATCAGGCTATCATGCGGTGGCAGGCAGCTGCATTTCACCCGAACCATCGAGAAGGCGGTGGAATGACCTGCCAGCGCATCATGTTCGTGCCACGATACCCTCCTCTCCGGGTTCAGACAGGGGGTACCCGTCTCGCCCCGATGAGGACCCCGAGGCGCAAACCAGCAGGGGTCCCTTTGAATCTCTCATTTGTGCACCGTTTCTCTCAGTTTCTTGTTCAGTTTCTTGGTCACTCCCGCCTGGCTGCGGAAGCCATGGCGGAATTCAGCGGCACCCACTTCTTGTTCAAGAAAAAGCCTACTCGAAGGCCCGCGTTTACAGTAGACGCTGACGGGTGGTGCACCCGTATCCCGCCAGAACCACCAGAGCCACCACAGCCTCCTGCGCCTCCTGCGCCTCCTGCGCCTCCTGCGCCTCCTGCACCTCCTGCTCCTCCTTCGCCTCCTGCTCCTCCTTCGCCTCCTGTTCCTCCTTCGCCTCCTGCGCCTCCTGTTCCTCCTTCGCCTCTGAGTCATGTGTCACCGCAACACACTGCCAATCAGCCCGTGCTGACGCTGCTGCTTCCATCGGCGTTTGACGAATTCCTGTCCGAACCGGATTCTAACAACGCGCCGGATGTGTACGTGCGAGTGGACCACGTGCCTGGAGGACGTTGGGGACAGCCCGAAGATTGCCCTTGGGACGAATCTGCAGTCGGCGCCGACGATGATGTTGCTAACGCTGAGGATGCGAGCGGCGCTGACGGCGCCGAGGGTGACACGGAGGCTTCCGCCGAGGGCGGCGCCGAGGGCGGCACCGCTGAGGATGTGTTTCCAGAAGGTGTTACGGGCGACGGTGACGACGACGGCGTTGAGTACTGGTCACGCGACGGGCTACCTGAGAAACTGCCCATACCAACGTATCCTCCGACTAATCGCAAGCGACCCCACCCCTCTTCACAGAACCGTGATGCCCGCCCCCCCTCTCCCAGGCACAAGCTCACCGAGCACAAGCGGCAAGGTTACACCGCCGCGGAGAAGTTGAAGTGGGCAAGTCGGCTTGATGGGTCGGTGTCGGTGCGCGCCTTGGCTCGCGAGAGCGGAATCCACCGCAAATGCCTCACCAACTGGAAGCGGGCGGCGGATTTCCTCAAGGAAGTTCACTCCGCCCGGAAGCGCATGCACGGCCGCGGGCGGTCGTCGTGGTACCGGCCGATGGAGTTGAAGGTGTACGAGAAGCTGCTCGAGTGGCGCCGCAAGGGAACTGCCGTGTCAGTCGGCCGCCTGCAGGAGTGGTCGCGGGAGTTCATGAGGCTGCTGTACCCGGACAAGAAGTGGAAAGGAAGCCAGAGGTGGTCGGCGCGCTTTCAGCGTCGATGGAATCTGAGCGTCCGCATGAAGACCCGGGTTGCCCAGAAAACCGCCGCGTGTAAGAAATCCTCCGTTTAACTTGCCACGTGGTTGTTGTAGATTTGTACTAACACCCTCCGTCTGTGTCCGTCCTCTCTTCTACCGCCGTGCAATTGTCGCTGAGCTGTGCCGCAGCTTCTGGCAGTTCGTGCGTGACAAGCGTCGAGAGCGCGGCATCGACACCGCGTGGATCATCAACGCGGATCAGACGCCGCTATGGCTGGAGATGCCCGCCACCACCACCGTGGAGGAAACGGGTGCTCGCTCGGTGCCTATCAGGAGCGCGGGGTATAAGAAACAGCGAGTGACCGTGATGCTGGCGTGCACGACGAACGGAAGGAAGCTGAAGCCGTGGGTGTTCTTCAAGCGCAAAACATTGCCGAAGGGCGATTTCCCTGCCGGTAAGTAAAGACGTGCACTCCTCTGTAACTGCGTTCTGTTCTGAGTGCGAATTCTAACCACCCGCTCGTGTTTCGTGCAGATGTGGTCGTGGCTTGCCACGAGAACGGGTGGATGGACTCCGCGGGCGTCGTTCGCTGGCTTGAGGAGGGCGTCAAGCCTTTCTTGAAGCCTCGGTTCGGCAGACACGCCAAGAGCTCGATGCTGGTGCTGGACTCTTACCGCGGTCACCTCACCGAGGAGGTCAAGGAGAAGCTCCGCGAGATGAACTGCGTGCCGGCTGTCATCCCGTCGGGCTGTACGGCGGAGGTACAGCCGCTCGATGTCTCCATCAACAAGAGATTTAAGGCGTCGGTCCGCCAGCAGTACCAGAGGTGGTTTGAGGCAGAGGGGCAAGCGCAGCTGACCGCGGCAGGTATGGCATGAGTACGGTTTTGTCCCCCCCCCCCCCCCCCCCCCCCCCCCCCCCCCCCCCCCCGTTTTTTTTATGCACTAACGGCTTTCCACCGTTCTCCTGTTACCGTATGTCTCAGGGAATCTGAAGAAGCCTCCAACTGAGGTCGTCCTGCGGTGAATACCTCAGGCCTGGCGGGCAGTGCCGTCCGACCTCATCACGCGCGCCTTCCTCACCTGTGGCATCAGCAACGCGCTCGACGGCAGCGAGGACAACCTCGCCATGGCGCACAGGCGGACCCAGCTGACAGCGGAGGTGGATGTCGACGATGACATCATCGCTGATGGTTTTTTTGGCAACAACTGCCAGGAGCCCGAATCTGACGAGGAGGAGTAGGAGGGGTACTGGCTGATGCATGTTAGGTAGAAGTACCCCGGCTAGACTAGTTGTAGGTTAGCAACATGATGTTGTAGTTGCTAAGAAAAATAGGCAGTTTTGTGAAATCGTTTGTAATGCCTCCCATGTAAGGTTCACGGATGCGCTTATAATAAGGATAGAAAATTCAGGGGGTGCGCTAATAATCGAGTTCCGGCCATAGGCACCATGCTCCAGATAGAGGCGTCGGCCCCGTTAATCGGACGGCGCCTATATCCGGGGCCATACGGTATTAGTAATATAAGACCCGGGTCTTTACAAATGAACATGTTTTTTATACTTGTATTTAAATGCAAAGCTCACGTTGGTGTTTGATTCGATTTTAGATTTCGGAAAGCGGCACGCCGAGGATGTTTTTTGTGACAACGGTTCAACAATAAGAAATCCACTTATTGCTCTCTGATTGGACAACCACATAGCCAACCAAGTCCATGAGAATCGCACAGTCAGGCTTTGCCAGGTGGCATCACGCTCGCAACTAGTCAAGCTTTGATTCTTGAGCTTGGTAATGGCGAAAAAAAAAAAATATGCACAACATTGACGGTGAAATGCTCACGTGACTTCATCCGAAGAGAAAAGAGACATTATGTTCTCCTTCACAAAACGACTCTATTCTATTATAAAACCACATGTTCGCTGTAAAGGTGGGGGGTCTTATAATGTTTTCAGTCAAAAAGGGGGGTATAACAAAAACATACCCAAATATAAGACCCATGTCCGTATTATATACCTAGGGGTCTACAACTGGGGGGGATCTTATATCCGGGTGATTACGGTAAGCATAATGTAACATACATATTTTTAGATGATGATAACAGTATCTAATTATGTACTAGTGCTAAACGCTCAACCAAACTTGTATTTCTGTTTCATATCGACTGTGATGGACTTCTGCTTCAAGGGGGCGATTCGAATTGTGGTAAAACAAATCGTGGCTCAGAAGCGACAAACGTGCCTATGACAGTCGGTCGCGAGTGCTGTACCCAGATTAGGGTTTGAGCACACAATAGCTATTCGCCACCGATCTGTAACTATGCTTATTCTCTCTGCAACTTACAGAACAAGCATGATATAGCTCAGCGGACGAAAAACGCCGCCCAATTTCGCGGTAGGGAAAGGACAACGCCCCTCCTCGGGGTCAACGAACGCCCGACGGCCTCCGCGTGGAAAGCTCTGGCAAACTGGCAGGGCTCAGGCTCGCGAGCCCTCGGGATTGACGACGACCTGACGACCTAGGTTTCCGCTGAGACTTTCCCGAGAAGTATGTCTCAGCGCGTGGCAAAATCACAGTTCGGCACGTCGGGACGCGATTATCGCCACGCGGCCTCGAAGGGACGTCCGAGATCGTCCCCAAATCGACGAGGCCACCGAGGCTGCCACGATGGCACACATAGGGACAAGGTGTTTTGAGCGGGAAAAACTCGCGCCAGCACGAAACATGGTCGGTGCGTACCACGCGGCCTCCATCCCACGGTTGCCGACAGAGGCTAAACGCGGCATCCTACCGTCCAAATTCACCGTCTAGGTGCAACGAATCTCCTGGCAGTGAGCATGTTGGCGTCGACCAGGCCACGGGATCGTCAAGGTGCCACGCGGCACTGCCTTGCGCCCTTCCATCACGGTATTCAAGGAGCCAGGCGCCATGTTTGGGTCCACGCCACGTAGCGCACGCACAAGCCAGCGTGTCACAGCCATGCATAGCGCTCGATGGGCGAAGCACGGCTAGCCAACAGCCATGCATGGCTTCTGGCACGTCGGACACGGCGCCGCCGCACGAGGGTACACGCATAGCGGTGACCTGCACAGGGGTTTGCGTGGAGCGCAACAGGTGCGGAGTCGCTCACGACCATACCCATCCGTGTCCACAGTGAGGGTCGCTCTTTCTGCATGCTACTCCGTGTTCGTTCCTTCCTCTTTCTGGCTCTTAGTTTTCCCTCCTCACTTTCTACCTTCACGCGTGTAGGAGAATCGCCCGCCGACCACAAGTTGTCGTCGGTGTCGCCACAGTAGCCAGAGCGACCGATTCGATACGTTGTTGTTCATCGTTTAGAGCATCGACTTAGCAGGTCATAGTATATCGACCGACCATGCTGATTTCCCATTTCTCCTCCCTAGGTCGACGTCGCATGGCCAGAGGACAGCCTAGCGCGACACAGCCTCAATCCAATCCACCCCCTTCGGATACGGTCGACGCTGACATTAAAGCGCAACTGGAACTGGCGGAGGTTGTCGCCGAGCTAGAGGCACTCGCGAGGGAATTCGAGTTTGATGCCTGCGAAGCTCATAGGATAAACACCGCCAACGGGACTCAGTACCGCCTGGTCGGCCACGTTCCACGCACAGGGTTCACGGTAGACCGCTCGATAAAAAATTACATGGCCGACGTCGACATGACAGACATTCCCCCCCCCTGCTTGCCATGGGGATTCTGGTCGATCGCTAGACCGTACACCGACCAGTAACCCCTCGTCGACGCTGCCGCTGCTTTATGACCTTGACGCCCTAACAGAAATCCCGGAAGGAGAGTTCACTAAGGACATTCCGCCCCCGCCCATTGGCGACGCAAGACGTCGGCATCGACGAATGCCGGAGAGGCCGGACCGTTGTCGTTGCCGGACGGGGAGGGCGACCAGGATGATGAGTACGAATCATCGGACAACGACGAGGACGACGAAGACGACCCGCGGCGTTGTTGTGGCACAGGTCCGCGCATGTTGGAGGAACGTCTGAGGGGGGAACATGCGTTCATAGAGGAACTGTTGGACGAGAACGAGCTCGAGGATCTGCAGAACACTGCGGTGCCCCGCGAACAGTGGAAGGCCGCCGACTTCGTTGAGGAAGACATGGTTTACGCGTGCATCGACGTATTCGTGATAGAAGCAATGCGCCACCTAAAAACCCTGGAGGGTAGAAGCACGCTCAAGCTTTACACATCGTGGATCTACCACTACAAGAGGTGGGCAGCTAAGATGCTCAAGGAATTACGCGACAAGCTTCCTACGGAGCAACGAATGAGGCACGTCGACGAGATCGGGCACTGGATCCACTGCAACAAGAGCAAGGATTGGGACAACGAGGAGGTGGTCCCCCGGAAATACATCTGGCTGCACGGTCCGCGGGTCACTGAGACGCGGCTGCGCGCCTACGTCAAATTCATGAGGCGAGAGTACAAGATCGATGCCGAGACGAACGCGCCGGTGCCAGCTAACACGGTGCACATGATCCTTGGCCGCATCAAGGCCTGTCAGATGGCGGCGAGGGTGGAAGCGACGCTGTACAAGGAGAAGGAGCTGTGCATCATGCGGGAAATCTCTGTATTCCGGTCGGAGGTGCGGGTCATGGTCCGAACCAAGAACCAGAGGGACCTCAAGTAAGTTGGTCAACACCGTCGAATTCAGTCGCCGTCGTTTTGTGGTCGAGGACACACAACTCACCTCCTCTTATTGCTTTGTGGACAGAAGTTGCACAGACCGTCGACGCGGCACCATCGGCGACACATACACCGCCGAACAGTTCCGCCAGGTCATGATGAGGGTGTTGCCGACCTGGGCGGCGTCGGCGTGGAAACCGCGGGCAACCACACCTTCGCAGACGCTGTGGAGGTTCCTTCTCGTCAAGGTGCTCATGCTACTCTCCCACCACAGTCTCCTGCGCGGTGCAAGCATCCGCGAGATCACGCTCCCCGACATCTTCTTGTACCGACTGGCGAGCACCTCGTCGGTGAACCCGGAGAACCAGCCGGTCGTCATGGTCATCGCTGCGCGGAACTCGAAGACGTCCAAGGATGCCCGCTTCCAGCAAAGCTACGCCGCCAGACATTTGGAGGCGGAGTTGTGCGCCGTCGGCGAAACCGGCCTGTGGTTGCACTTCATCCTCGACCAGATCGGCCAGTTTCACGGCGTCGCCCTCATTCCGCGCTGGACACCAGCACACGCGAGCGCTGGTACAAGAAGCACCTCTTCTTCGCCCGGAACGACAAGGAGCAAGAAGAACTCCCCGCTGCCAGCCACCAACGATGGACAAGGCAGATGTGGAAGAAGAATAAGGTGTTCTGCAAGCGGAACGTGCACGCAACGTGAGTAGGTGGGGCGCAGGAGCTGGCCATCGATGGTACGTCTCGTGCCAAGATAGCCGAGCTGGGTTACTGGGCAATCGACAAGATGACTCGAGCCTACATCACAGCCATTCCCGTCGGCGTGGTGATGAAGAAGGCCGGCTATTCGGGTGCCAAGCAAGACTACTTTTTGGGTCGCAACCGGCACGAACCCTCCAACATCATCGCCGAGCACATCTTCCCCGGCGTCGATGACCTGCTGAAAAAGGTAAGTTAATCGGCGTCGACATATGCTTCGTCGTAGTATCGGCTGACAAGCCGTCTCTTATCATTGACTTCACTTGTCAAACTGCAGATGGAAGAACTCGCTGCCAAGGGTTTAGGGTCCGACGCCGACATTGCCGCCGTGCATTTCTGGCGTACCCTCCAGTTGATGCGCCGCATCGTCACCGAGGACCTCGATGTGAAACCCGTCCGCACCCCTTGGCACCCGTACGTCCAATGTTCCAAGCTCTGCCGGATTCCCCTCTTCCAGCACTGGGCGAAAACGGTCGAGAAAATCGACACCGAGACGATCAAAAAGCGGCGAGACCCGACCCTCATTCAGCCAGAGGTAAGTCATTACGCAAGTCGACTTCAACCTTTGTCTAGTCAACACTACAACCCCTCACATTCCACGTCATTCGCCGACCATTGCAGGAGATATCTGTCCGTCATGACGCCCAGTATGCAGTCATGTCCCTCACCGAGACGCTGAAGTACGAGAGGGAGCGCTCCGCAGTCGAGAAGATCAACCTCGAGGAGGTTGAGAAGTGCGACGCGACAGTTGCCACGCTGATGGCTGAGATCACTCGTCTCACCGAGGCACTCCACGTCTCAGAAGCACGGAGGATGCCGGAGGCGCCGCCAGCGGCGACCGAGCAATCGCCGAGCGGAGGTGGCTCCGCGGATTCGGCCAACACGGGGGGCGAAGCCAAGAAACGGGATGACAAACCCCCGAAACTCCCACAGACGGTCGACGAGGCTCGTTACGAGCTCAACGTGGTGCAACCTTGGCGGGAGGCAACGACCGTGAGGGACGCGTGGCGCCTCTGGACCTCCTGCACAAGCGCCGAAGACACCCGCCGTCTGTGCGACAGGTTCACAGAGCCGGGATTCGTCGACCGCCACACCCTCCTCGCTGGCGCGACACAGGGAGCACTCGGGAAGAGGGTGCGACGCATGATGAAGGTCATAGATGCAGTGCGCCTTCTTCGCCGCAGCGACGGCGAGGCCGACACAGAAGCCTGCGTCGACGCTCTTAACAAGATCGTGGCGCCGGACGTTGGAACCTTCTCCGACGCCCTCACTGTGCTCAACGCGCACACCTTGCCGACTTACTCCAAGGAGTCGGGTAAGGGCGTCAAGGGGCTCGGCAAGTTGGAAGCCTCCAAGCTCCGTGTCGCGTGTGCGTTTGTAGCTCGCGGGCTTAAGCCGCAAAAATGGGTCGCCGACCTGTTTCCAGACACCTGGGAGGAGCAGATGGCGACGACATTGGCCGACTTGGCCAAGGAGAACGCCGCTGGGCAGCGGCCTCCGACCAAGACGCCGGCCAAGCGCAAGAAGACCGCGTGACCGATCTCGGAGGATGTTACTGTGGGGTGTTGCATGTTGTATATGATGTCGATGCAGCATAGACCCTTTGTTATAAAGTTGTGTTTGCCCGCCGTTTATTGTGGTCGACCTAAACAGCGAACGTGAATGGCCGTGTCGTGTGCATTTTCTGTTCTTACATTGTTCCTGTGGTAGGTTCTTGGAACTCACACACACTCGACAATCACGCACACCAGAAAATTTACATTCGCACACCGTAAAAGCCCTAAGCGATCCGAAAAGTGAAATACGAATGCGACGCCGATCAAAACAACACTACACCATAGCAAGCACATCACCTAGCAAAGTATCCGACAAGTGGAACACGAAAGCGACGCCGCCGACTACTCCGCCGTGCTGTCCTTGCCCTTCTTGCCCTTCTTCTCCTTCCTCGTGCTATCCTTGCCATGCCTGCCCCTCTGCCCCTTCGTCCCCTTGTGGTCAAAATCGTACTCCATCTGCCGTCACACGGCACCGCAATGCCGATCTCTTCGAGCTTCGGCTCGGCGACGGGGCACATTCCCCAGAACGCCAGTGTCTCTACCGTCGCTCTAGCGATCACCTTGGCATCGACGTCGGCATTTCCACCCGGATAGACCCTTTGCAGGGCGAGGCTCTGCAGCGCCGGTGCGGCGTTGTGAGCAACCTCCCCTAGGGGTCGCTCCCTGTTGATCTCGGCGTCCAAAACCACATGTATGACCTTCTTGAATACATCGGCGGTCGACTCGCTCGCACCGGCCACCATCGCCACCGCCTTCCCTTCGCTCACAGCATCGAGCACCTGGGCGTCGTCGTACTCGACGAAGCACCAGACGGCGCAAGCGGAGGCCGCTAACGCCTGTGCCGTCATCTCCGTCATCTCCTCCGTGTCTCCCGCCTTCCTCGCCATGCTCGCAGCGACCTTCCCAAACGCCGCGCACATGGACACGCGACCGATCAGGGCCGAAATGATAGCATCCGACTTCTCCTGGTCTTCTTTCGTGTCGGCCTCAATGGAGAACCAGATCGTCGGTAAGAGCGCGTCGTGGAGCGCATCGCCTGAGCTCTTGTACGCTCGATATTTGCCGAGAATGTTGTCACACCTGTCACGCAGACATCAAACAGAGGAGATCATTAGTGACTCCGACTTCCTCACCATCGCTCGGCCGAAGGGTATCCGACTTACCGAGACTTTGGAAGAAGATCATTAGTGACCCCTCCGTTCTTTCTCCCTCTCCTTTTCCTTCTCCGCAGCCTTCTCCTTCTCCTTCTCCCCCGCCTTCTCCTTCCCTTTCTTCGCCGCCTTACCCTCGCCCACCGACTTCCCCTCCGTATTCGCCGCCGCCTTCTCCTCCTCCGTCGCCGTCGCCTTCCCTTTCTTCGCCGACTTACCCTCGCCGACCGACTTCTCCTGATTCTCCGCCGCCTTCTCCTTCCCTGTCACCGCTGACATCGCGCGTGTTGTCCTCGCCTTCCCTTCCTCTGCATCGGCCTTCCGATGCGCGGCCCTCGCCCCTTGCCCCGCGCGTCCAGCCGCAGAAGGATTCACACCGATGTTGGCGGCAGATGGGACGTCGGCAGGGGGCGGCACATTGCCCTTGTCGGCAGAAGGGCCAGTCGGAGGGCGGCCACCCGCGGGAGGCTGATGAGGAAGCGATGACGCCTCCGCTACCACGGCATTCAGCCCTTGGCCGGTTCTGGCGGCATCAACTGTCACCGTTTTCGCGGTGGGGATCTCCCTGTCGCTCAACCCTTTCCCACCGCTCGCCTGACGAGCTGCCTTCTCGGCGACCAATGGCGGAGCACTTGGGACGGCGTCTTTAGCGGCTCTCTCGTCGGCGGGACCCCCATCTGCACTCCCCCCTCCTTGGCCCTTGCGGGGCGATCCAACAGTAGCCCAGTGCTGCTTCAGGATGTCGACCACGCTCTTCTTCCCCGAAGTGTCTTCTCTAGCTCCCTTGCTCCCTTCGCCGGCGACGCGGGACCCTCCAGCTCCCTTGCTCCGCTTCACGCTCGTCGTATCGTCTCCGTCTCCCCCCCCGCCGCCGTCGCCCCTCTTTTGAACCTGCTTCTGAGCCTCCTTTCCTTGCGCTTGGTCGGCGTCGTTGGCCGACGGCGACGACCCACGCCGATCAGGAGCAACCGTGCCGACCACCTCGGTCATTAGCTTAGTCCGGAGGCAAGAAACGAGTGCTGCGTGGCCTCCGTCACCGCTTTCAGCACGTCTGCCTTGAAGGACTTCATGAACTCCTCCGACAAGGCTTGCGTTGGGGCGGGCGGTGGTGGCGGCGGGGGTATGACGATGTTGCGAGCGACGGCGACGGCAATGTTGGTCTGCGCGGCGCCAATTTGGCTAATGATAGTCTCCTCCAAACCCTTCCTCGCCTCCTCCACCTCATTCGTCACGTGGCCGCCCAATGCGTTGACAGCTTTCGCTCGTTCGACCGCCATTTTTCCGTTGGGGTCGTCAAGGTCCCGCAGCATCTTCGCCGCCATTTCGGCGAATGACCTCATTGATTTCAAGGCGCTGTCCATGTTGTCTGTGAGGTTGTCGGAGATGGTGGTTGACATGGCCGCCGTGGCCTCTTCGAGGCGTTTCGCCGATTTCAGGTCGGTGTCGGCGACCTGGGCAGTCAAAGCCTTGACCTTCCCGAGGATTCCAGCTATCGCCAACGCCAAGCTGTCAATCCGACTCGTCTGTTCACCGAGCGCCTTTTGCAGGCGTGCATTGTCGGCACTCAACCTCCTGTTTTCTGCATGCAGCTGCTCGATGACATCCAGCGATGCCTGCCAACCAGATGCGGAGGAAGCGGGATGACCGCTCGCCGCCTTCTTCTTCTTAGACCTGTCCCCCACGGCCTTCCCTGCGGTGGCCTCGGTAGGCCCTTCCACGCCTGTCTGCTTCGTGGCCACGACGCCGTTATCCCCTTCTTCAACGGCCTCGATGTCGCCAATAACATCGCCGACCATGACCTTCCCACTCCCCCCCTGAGCAGCCTCCATGCTGACATCCTGTTTCTCCTTTCCTAGATCCGTTGACATTGCAGCCTTCCCCTCGTCGGCATCCTCCCCTTCCTCGTTTTCGACATCCACCGATCTCCCACCCGTTTCCGCCGCTCCCTCCTCAACGTACTCCACCTCCAGCTGCTCCCACTCCCGATCCACCTCTTCCCCCTGCTCCCCCTCTTGCTGACCCTTCTCCTCCTCCTCCTCCTCCTCCTCCTCCTCCTCCTTCTCCTCCTCCTCCTCCTCCTCCTCCTCCTCCTCCTCCACCTCCTCCTCCTCCTCCTCCTCCTCCTCCTCCTCCTCCTCCTCCTCCTCCTCCTCCTCCTCCGCCGAGCCCCCCCCCTTCTCCTCCTCACGATCCTCATGGCCCTCCCCTTCCTAGACCTCAGCATCATCCTCATGGACAACCTCATCCTGGTGCTTCTCCCCGGTCCCAGGCACCCCCTTTCCAGCCTCCGCATCGGCCTCGTCAACGCCGCCTCTGGGCTCTCCGATCGTGGCCCTACGCGCATCACCGACGGTGGGGGCGACACCTACTGCTTGGGATGCCGAAGGGGCCTCTCCTCGCCGTCGTCGTCGCAGGCGTCGGCAGCAATGCCGACATGGCCCAACCGTTTAAGGGCAACGTGCTTCTTGACAACGCCCACCATCCCATTCCGCAGCCCCTTCAACCCGACACGATGACCCTGTCCATGGTGGTTTCACTGCGACGGAGGTCGCCGGTCAGGCGATCCATCCGCCTCACCACCCAGCACAACGAGCTCATTGCTAGCAGGCCGGAGCCCGCGTCCCCGTCCCGGACGGTGTCGGGCACTTTCTGCATACAACACAGTTCAGAGTGCAAGGATGAGCATCGCGTTCGGTACTCGCAACGCTAAAAAATGACTAACTACAGAACGGTAAAGCGTTCGGAACTCACATCGTGAAAGGGGTGATCGCAGTCGGCGAGCCTATCCTCCAACACTGCATTCGAAGGCTTCGCCCACTCCCACTTCCTACCAGCGCGCCCCAGCTCGGCCAGGACAGCCGACCGGAAAAACCTGAAGCAACATGGCACGTATAGTCGGTCAGAATGGTGTATCGCGGCGAAAAATGCATATGACGTCGACAACATTTTCGAGCTCACTTCATCACGCGGATCGCCTCGTTGCGGTGCCAGAGCTTCACGGTCTGCGGGTCAGGGTACCGGATCGAGGTCCTGATAGTCTGCCCCTCGGCCAACAACAAGTTGCTGGGGTAGAGGATGACAACGAGGCTGCAATGTGATTCTGGGAGCGGTGTGATGCTGCACAGGTAAGGCACAACGACGTCGTTCAATACCGAGCCCCGACATAGGTTGCAACAATCACCAAGACGAATTCGAACCCGCTCACCTCGAACTCAGGGGGATAACCGCTACGTCGGCGTCGAAGACCGTCGCAAAGCATGTGTGGTCGTTCTTTCCCATCGCCGCGCGAAGCCGGACGACTCCTATCGACCACAAACTCATGTTGTCTGGTGCCGCCGCACGAGTTCATGCGTACCTGCACGCAGGAATGTGCACAAGATGTGGACAAAAGCCGACCGATGCGGGCACAACCCCGCACGACCGTGCCGCCTCCGACCTAGACGGTGTTGTTATTGGTCCTAATGTCGGGGTCTACGATGGCGGTCGAACCACGGAAACGGCCGACGCCGACATCTAAAAGTCGACATCATAGTGCTCCCTAACGGTCGACGGCGACTACTGAAGGCGATACTCACTTGACGCCGAATCCCAAGCATCGGGCGTTGAACTCTAGCCTATGGTCTACGAGGACGGTGTAGTCGTGTTCGTCGAGCTTGGCAGTGAGACCACTACCCATGTCGAGATACAGAGGGAAGTTCTGCGAAGTCGGCGCCACTTTGCCGGCTTTGGGGTCGGCCTCCATGGCGGAGAAGGGAATTGACTACAGGCTAAGGGACGAGAATGAGATGTCTGCGAAGGCGCAGAGATAACCCCAAAAGCTGAACGAGAAACGAGATGCCGAAAATGAGGGGCGAGGCCTCCTTCCACAAAGAAAAGGGAGTCGGTGCCCCACAGGTCGGTTGAGGCATCGCCTGGCGTCACTGGTGCCTGGCTCGGCAGGGCTGCATACACAGGTGGCACAGGCGCTCCTTCGCCGCCGAGCCAGCAAGTCGACGTCACGTCCCCTGGCTTCGGTCGGCGAGGGGACGCGATTTTGCATGCGCGCGGTGCGTCGTTTTGGTCGACACGTGACGAATTCGTAGCGGGTTGCGAAATTCGTGCGCCGCAAAGCGAGCAATCCAATTTCGATCGAGTTTCGGCGGGTAAGAAATGTCGCATGCACCCAATGCGAATCCACGAGCGAACACGTATCGTCACCGCAACGGGTGGCGAAAATGTCGAGAGTCCTGAGTGAGCCCCCGAATTTCGCACGGACCTCGCCTGCCCGTTTGGGCAGGCCGCGATTGGTTACTAGGGCCTCGCGGTTAATTGGGACGGGGGGGCTGCCTTCCCCCTAGGGTTACTCACCCTCGCGTGAGGGGTCGCCAGCTCGCCGCCCCCACCCGGTAACGTGGGGACTCTGATAACGTTGTGGCAGAGTTCCATATGCGTTTGCCCCACGATCCGAGGCCTTGGATCCATGTGCTCCGGATCCCGAAGGCCATGGGCGCAAGGCTCCGCCGCATACGACAAGGCCAGCCGCGCACAATTCCGCGCCCACCTGACCGTGAAAACTGTATCTCAGCAAACCTGCCCGTGACCCTCTTTGCGAGTGATGGTGGTCGCGAAGGACATTTTTCACCATCGTAACTATTTGGCCGACAATTGACGATTGTCGGTCGCAATGCCGGTTGCGACAACCTGGCCGTTCTTGCGTTTTTTTATGCTTTGAAATTATGTATGGCTGCCACCTTAAAGCTGCAGCCTGTGTGTTGATTTATACCATTGCTCTTTGTGTTTTATAGTCATTGTTTACCAAGTGTAGTTGTTCTGCACACGTGGCCATGGCAACAGTTTTTGTCAGAGTCCCAAGGCTGCTGGAGCCAATAAGCGTCGAATAGGGAACCATCTCCCATGTTTTTTTTTTTGGCGGGAGAATCTTCCAATCCAGGGTTGGATGACCAGATCTGGACACAAGCTTGTGTGTGTGGTGGATGGGTATGAAGGGATGTTTTCGTGCTCATTTGCTCCTTTTCATTTGCATTTCATTGTCCGCAAGCTCTTTGAACCCTTTTCATCCAGCACCTGTTAGTCCACCAGCTTAGTCTTGTAAGTCTGCTGGACCCACTGGCAGAACACTGACGTCCTCGACGTAGTGACGTAGGTCGTTTAAAGAGCGTTTTTTTTTTTTTTTTTTGGGTGAGCTCGGTTTAGGATATCTTCAGTCGCCCTTGTTCGGTCGCTTATGTAGGCGCATATGTATGCGGTAGACTATGATGACGGTAGAACCGTTTGTTTTCGACCTAAACATTTGTCGAACGTCGCTCGCTTTTGTAGCCGCAGATCATAGACGTGGTGATTTTTCCTCGGTAGAAGTATTCATGCCCGATCCATACTATCATCGATCGTACGACGTTTATGTACAAGCATAAGGTTGCCGTGGATAATTTTCTCGCAATAATATTCGGAACTTGTTTTCGTTGATTCGTTGTAGAATATTATAGCGGTAGAACAAAGGGGTGCAGAAGTCTACGGTATGCAACATTCAGGCTACTCTCTATACGCAAGTTGTAGGCGCAGATATATCTATACGCAAGTTGTAGGCGGCGTTCGTAGACCAATGCGCAGACGTTTGAAGCACAGACACTCTTAAGGCTTCTGCACTTAGCCCACTATGCATTCTGCCTAATTTATATGCATACATGCGAATCCTTTCCACCCACTGTTTCCTACACCTCCCTATTCTTTTGTCTAGTCTTGGTTTATCGCGTATAAAATAGGCATCTGTTAATGGCCGACGCAAGGTCGAGCCTCGCCCAGGGTGTGCCCACGACGCAGGGGATGGAGAAGAAGACCTGGCAAACGAAGAAAAAAACCAAAGAAGACTACGCACAGGATCTCCAGAACGATCGCGAGTTTGACACGACCGATGAGGATTTGTTTCAAGGTGCCCCCTACGCACCGACCATCGTGATTGAGGAAGTCGAGGGGAGTGAATGGGTTGGAGGGCCGTATTGCGATGGAGTGCGACCACGGCCCGGTGAGCCCAAAGAGCGGTACGGCGAGGAGAGAGATCACTCTGATGCAGAAGAAGAGGGAGAATCATCGCGGCGTGGACGACCAGTCGATTCTGCAAGCCATGTTGAGCAGGGTGCGGCCGCAGAAAATGGGCAGCGGGAGGCCGACGTTGCAAAAATGGCGAGCAGGATCAGGCGTTCAACACTCCCGCTTCGACTGATAGAGTCCGACACAAGAAGGCACTATTGTTTCCACTTTCTACACTTCAAGTGGTGGGTAATGATCTTCATGACAATGATGGTGGATGCCCCTGTGGCCGATAGGGAGGCTCCCTCTTTGCACGACGAGGTTGGGTTTTTTCTGAAAAATAGGTTGGGAAATTATGGGTGGTTGTGCAGCTCTGACGAGTGGCAGATTTATCTGCACGGGCCGCGAGTCATGGAATGGAGGCTGTGCCGATACATCGAGTTCCTCTTCTGCGAAACAGACGAGCAGGCAAAGATATTGCGTGACAAAATTCGGCCAGACTTTCAGATGTACGCGGAAAAGGAGGCAAAGGGATCCATGGCTTCCATGATCAAGGCAAAGATGAACGCGATGGGATGCCTTGCCAGATGCGAGGCGAGGCTCTACGGCTTCTCCATCACAATGACCAAGGACTGGATCAAGAATGCTCATGATTTTCTCAAAGTGAAGTTGAAGGAGCTGAACGAGGAGCAAGTCGCGTGAGTATTTTCGGGGTGTGCTTTCTGCTTGTGTACATGTTTCTCTACATTGCGTACATAATTATTGTATTCTTCTGTGCAGAGACGGTCGTGATCAAACACGCGGATCATTTTCCGACTGCTATACGGCATCCCAAAATAGGACACTACATCACACTGTTCTGCAAAAGGAACTCCTGGAAATCTGGTGGTGATCGCCTCCGGCACAAATCTCGCTTCCTCTCCGGAAGGCTCTGCAAGTACCGGTTATGATGCACCTCGGACACCAATTTCTGGGTAGAGGGTGCAGCATTCGAAAGATTCGCCTTTCGAACCTGTTTGTCCGCATGACGCGGAGCACCTCACACCTCGACGCCTATCTGGGCGTATTTGTACTCGTCGTCGTTTCGAGGAAATCGAAGACCAACCCTAGCAACAAGCTGAGTCACCAGTTTCTTGCAAGACATAGGGACTGGCGGCTCTACGGGATGGGCCATGTTTTCCTGTGGCTTCATTTCATCTACGACCTCGTTCCTTTGCACTACGGCCCCGGTATCGTCGAGCCTCTCGACTTTTCTGAACCGATCAAGTGGACTAAAGCACACCTCTTCTTTTGCTTGAAGTAGAAGAGTGACAAGGGAAAGCAGAAGCAAGATGAGATGCACTACAAAACGCACTGCACCTGGATTCACTGGGCCATGAAGAAGGCGGAATGGGTTCTGAGCAAGGTGACACATGCGTTCCGCAGATCTGGAGCCCAAATTCTCCATGACGACGGTTGCTCCGACCACGACATTGGCACTTTGGGCGGATGGGCGCAGGGCGAGCTCCGGAGGTCTTATGTTATGGGCATTCCTTTTAAGCCTGTTTGGCTGCTGGCTGGATTCAGCGGGGATCGTGGAGACTACTACATCGGCAGAGCCCGCGCTAAGCTTCCGCGTCATGAGGATGAAGAGAAGGATGAGTGGTTGCAGCTGCTGAATCTCATGAGGCTTCACATCTTCCCCTGGGTCGAGGAGGGTTGGAAGAAGGTACGTACGTGTGTAGAGTATGCGCGTTCGTATATTACTATTTATACGCATTTATGAACCGTCGCATCTCTCCTGCCTACTCGTCCCCTCAGGTTCAAGCATGGAACGAAGCGCAGACCGACCTGCTGAAGAGGCACTATGCGGAGGTGAGGCTCCTCGAGACCCTCGGGAAAATCGGACGCCTCGTTGTCGCACAGGATCTGGCTATGATGTGGGTGTTCTACCAACAGCACGGTGTCAGAATCCCGCGGTGCAATTGCGAGAGGCATCCATATGTGCAGATGAGCCCGTTGTGCAACCACCCACTGTTCCAAAAGTGGGCGTACCTGGTCGCTAGCTTTCACTTCGAGGGCGAGAAACTTCGGGCGACCGCCCAAACCACCGCCACGGCAGTAAGTGTCTGATATCAGTGGTAGTTAGAGGTTTCCATTTGGCAGATTTCTGACGAGTTTGTTTCTGCAGGATGCTATCTTTCGCACGACTGCCGAGGGAAAAATGCAGAAGATGTACCTCACCGCCAATCTACTTAGGGCGGATCTTGGGAAGTCGCGAGGACGTGAAATGGAGTTGGAGACGGAGAACGCGAGACTAAGGAAGGAACGCGATGCTGAGCGGGAGGAAAAGGCTCAGCTCAGGGCCGAGTTCGAAGCTTACAAGAGGTCTGTTGCGGTCAGGAATGACGCCGCAAACACCTCTGCAGAGGACTACGGATCGTCGAAGAGCGCAGGAGCAGGTGCAAGCCAGGCAACTGACGCATCGAAAGCACCAGTTGCGGAGGAAGATTTCTTCGTCGTGGTCGTTGTGTCTTGGCGCGAGGCCAAGACTGTTGCTGCTGCATGGAAACTGTGGGTGCAGCCAAGCCTCATCATGGGCGGCAGGTCTCTGTGGGATGTGTGTGCAGAGTTCGGCCGGGTTAAGAACAAGAACAACAGCTTCATCACTGCATATTCCTGGTTCGCGGCTAAAGGTAAGCCCGACATGACTGTGTCTGCATGCGAGCGAAAGATGCGTCGCATGCATCTTGTCATGGTCGCCGTGGAGACATTCAGAGAGGACAGTTCCGAGGCGGCGACCGCAACGGCCGTTAGGCTGCTCGACGATTTGCTCCTCTTGTGCAACTTCACCGAATTCACCAACCGCCTGGCGGTGTTGCATGATACTCCGCCCAACAAACGGCAGAAAATCGTTTCGACGACTGAAAGGAGCACCGTCAACGACTTGGCACAATGCAGAGTGAGCTGGCTGATAGTCAGGATGGGTCTGCGCGACAAGGAGTGGGGAACATCGCTGTTTGGGGATGATGTGTGGAAGCAGATCGACAAGGAACACCTGGCGAAGGAGAAGGCGGAAGAGGAGAAAAAACGAACTGCTGCGGCGAAGAAGGCGGAACAGGAAAAGGCGAAGGGCACTGCGTCAAAACGTTAGGCGCAGAAATGCAGCGGCATGTTGCTTTAGGCTAGTGCGGTTTAGTTATTTGGGTACTTCTTTAGATTTGTCGCAGATGCACCCCGAATACGATGTGCACTTTACTGTCTCTGTAGAAGCCCGCTTCTCAGGATTGTATGCCACCTTCTTTTATGGACGAGGTGTTCTTCGTAGAATGTGTTCATGGTCTCTACATACAACATTGTGGAGGTGTGTTCTTCGGCTATTACTTGTAGATATGCCCTGCGAAAGCACATATAGATGTTATGCACCGGGCAAATTTATGCGGGCTCGTGTCGTATACGATTAGAATCTACGGATCGTCGTCGATGAGTTCAATCTCCTTAGCACACGATCTTATGCATAAGGTTAGCTTATACGGTTGGATGCCGAAGACGCATTGACTCTACCGCATTGTGCGATGGCGTCTTCGATGTTCTGCATAATCGGTATTCCCTCTTCTTTAGGCACATTCAAATTTGGAGATGAGTGTTTTTAGGCTATTTGGTCGAGTTATGCGATGCGGACGAACACATTGATGTTATGCATAGGACGATTTTATGCAGGATCTTGTCGTATTCGATTCGGCGCCACGATTCGGCGTCGATGAATTCAATCTCCACTGCACATGTTTCAATGCATAGGAGTGTCGTATACGATTCGTAGCAAGGTGCTCCCTATGAATTGATCCTATGTGGGGGCCGATGACGATTCAGTTGTTCGGAGATGTCGTCGATGACTTGAATAATGTGCATACGTGGAGCTTCTGCGGCTAACTGGGCAAAGGAGGAGTTTATGCGGACTCACAAGTTCTTACGGTACATATTTGCCAAACATTTCGGCACTTGGCACAGGTGGGTATTCTGCGCCCCTAGGTATAGGTGGCGATTGTGCTTCGACGTGTGGAGATCACATTCTGCCTACCCATCATTTATGCCTTCTGTCATATTGTAGGTTTGCGATCATATCTGAAATCTCTCGTTAACTTGTATACAACAGCATTTATGATTTTACAGGTTAAAATATAGACTACAAACCCTATTCTACAGCAGTAAAAAAAAAACCACTCAGAAACCCATCCACCTCTATCACTCCTGTCCGTCAGCGCTGGTGTTCTCCATTGGCGTCCCACTCGTCGCCTTCCCCTTCGCAGAGGACTTCTTGCTCTTATTCTCCTTCTCTTCACCATTTGTAGTCTCCCGGCTGCCCAATCTCTTCTGCCGGACGTTGAGGCTGGCGCGCTGGTGTTCACGAAGGCCTCTTGATGCCATGCAGCATAGGCACCAAGAGGTCAACACCTTCGCCACCACCCTCGTCATCCGCTTCGTACCGTCGCGCGCTCGCGACTCTTCCGGAAGCTCTTCCAGTAGCGCATTCAAAAGGGGCGAAATTCAGGCTTCCTTGACGTGCGAGTGATCTTCGACGGACTGCATTGCCTACACTTACCTGCAAGCAACCGATGCAGCAAGCGACGCAAGGGCAGTAGGGACGGCAGAAGTCTCGCAGGCAGGAGAATATGAGGGTACAGCAGAAGTTGAGGGCTCAGCAGACAATGCTGTGGCAGCAGAAGTGGCGGTGGCAGCAGGCACCGCGCGGGCAGCATAATATGCGATGGTGGTAGAAGTTGCCAGAGCAGCAGATGATGCGCCCGTCTGCCACTGGCCTCGCTCCACATTCGTCGAGGCATCCCATATTACCGACAATGTGGCTGCTAGACCGACCGCGTGTTCTTCGGCAGAATACCCGTCCACTCCGTCGACGCTACCCACGTTCTTCTGCCATGCTGTTATCCCAACACCCGCGCAGAAAGCTACCTGGAAGCTATCCTTCTTCGCCTTCCTCTCGGCTGTGTTGGTTTGCACGAGGGAGAATCTGCACAAGGCAACCATGTAGTTATATTAGTACCATAGAATTTCACGTACCTTACAAGACGCCACATTTTCTTCTCATGCACACTCACCTGTCGGGCTTGTCGAGGTGGAGTTCGTTGAGGATGCTCCACACTCCCGTTGGAATCCATGTTGTGAATTCCAAGTCTTCGCGCCACTTGGATAAACGGCTTGGATTCATACCGTACGCCACCATGTAAATATTCTGGAAGTAGGTCTTCCAGCAGATTGCGACTGTGTAGCCCCTCTCCCACACGGATTTGTGCGAGCTGAGGTTCTTGTTCCTGCCGCCGACCGTCTGCTCCGACGTCCACTTGAGCAGTGCTCCCTCGCCTCTATGAGAGAACCCGCTTCCCCTGAAAGGCAGGCTCACGCCCAAGGTCTTACCCTTAGCGTCCACTTGGGCGTTTCTCCTATTGTCACACTTCTCGATCTTCACCCCTTTGACTTCCCCTTGGGTTACTGGTATCAATTCCTGCATGGCCGCTGCACGCCATCTCTTAGCCGCATGCCCCTCCCGCTCCCTGTCCTCCTCCCTAGGCCGCCTTCTGGACCCCTCTACGTTCTCCACGAGAACCATTACGACGACATCTCTTACATTCGTCTCCCCCCTGCCATAGCCTTTACCTTTGCCTCCAGAAGCCGCTGTTCTTCCGCGTAAGACGCTAATCTGGCCCTCTTCTCTGCTCTCCGCTGCTCTCGCTCGCGTTCCTCCTCCAATCGTCGCTTCTTCTCCCGCTCGGCATCCTCAGCTTCCTTTCTCTTAGCCGCATCTTGCCGCCGCTCCTCCTCCTGCTGTTTCTACCTTTGTTCCCGCTCTGCCTCCTCTGCCTCCGCCTTCCTCTGCGCCTCTGCCTCCGCATACTTCTGCGCCTCTGCCTCCGCCTTCTTCTGCGCCTCTGCAGCCGCCTTTTTCTGTGCTTCTGCCTCAGCCTTCTTCTGCCTCTCTACCTCCGCCTTATTCTGCGCCTCTGCCTCAGCCTTCTTCTGCTTCTCTGCCTCCGCCTTCTTCTGAGCATCTTCCTCCGCCTTCTTCTGCCTCTCTGCGTCCGCCTTCTTCTGCCTCTCTGCGTCCGCCTTCTTCTGCCTCTCTGCCTCCAGCTTCTGCTGAGCCTCTGCTTCCGCCATCTTCTGCCTCTCTGCATCCGCCTTCTTCTGCGCATATGCCTCTGCCTTCTTCTGAGCCTCTTCCTCCGCCTTCTTCTGCCTATCTGCATTTGCCTTCTTCTGCGCCTCTGCCTCTGCCTTCTTCTGCGCCTCTTCCTCCGCCTTTTTCTGCGCCTCTGCCGCCGCCTTTTTCTGCGCTTTTGCCTCTGCCTTCTTCTGCGCTTCAGCCTCCGCCCTTTTCTGCGCCTCTGCATCCGCCCTCTTCTGCCCCTCTGCATCTGCCTGCACCTGCGCCTCTTCAACCGCCTCGGCGTCCTCTGCTTCCTTCCTATTTGCCGCCTCCTTGTGCCGCTGCTCCTCCACGTGCTGTCTCTCCCTCTTCAACTGCTCGTAGTCCACTCCCAGAACCGCTGTCAACCTATTTTCCACCTCCCTTAGCATCCCCTCCTTAAACTCCTCCATACCCGCCTTGATCTCCTTCACCACGTCCTTCATGCCCTTCATGCCCTCCTCCATATTCTTCTGCCGCCGCTCTTCGTCCTGCAGTTTCGTTTTCTTCCGCCGCTCCCTGAGCTCTGCTTCCGCTCTCTTTGCCTCTTCCTCCTTCCGCCGGTCCTCAAGCTGCTGTTTCTTCCTCTTCTGTCGCTCAACGTCCTCTACTTCCTTTCTGGACGCCTCATCATTTTGCCGCCGCTCCGCCTCCTCCAGTCTAGCCTTGGTCTGCCGCTCGCAATCCTCTCGCAGAACCGCTGTCTCCCTCTCTACCACCAGGTTTAACATACCCTTCATCCCCGCCTTCATCTCCTTCCTCACCACCTCCTTTATCCCCTCTCTCATCTCCTTTGCCCGACGCTCTTCCTCCTGCTTCCTCTCCTTCTTCTGCCGCTCGGTGTCCTCTGCTGTCGCTTGCCCACTCTGAAACCATGTTGAAAAGACTAGGATCGAATGGATAACTAAGGAAAACATGAGATACAAATACCAAACCCTAAAGGGGTTGTACCCCTTAGTGGCTACCCCACTGTAGCCTACAACACCAAAACATAATACAGTTCAACAGATGGAACCGTCGATAAGCGGGCGTTTTTTTTTAAAGCTTGATGACGTACATGTGTTTGAAAAGTGGTCGCGAAATGCGAATCTTGACACGTGTGATACTTATACTACATACAGGGCTTTTGGCGACGGAAAAACGACCTCTCGCTAGCAGTCCAGTTTCAGTTACCAGTGCAGGAAAGTTGATGTTGAAGCTGGGGTCATCAAGACCATACATGGGAAATTTCGTGGTGAGCAGGATTTTGATTGGGAGAGCGCGAACCGCATGCATAGCTGCTTTGCTCCTACGTGGCAATGTTACACGTGGAAAGGCAGATTTAGCGCTCAGCAGCATCGCCTGCCATAGGGCCAACATCATACACATGCAAATTAGTATGGTAACCCTATGCAACTGTATGCAAAACGTCCGACGTGGTGACCACCCGATTTTCGGTGAGGTCGAGGATCTCTCAGCACTTGCTCGCCTCCGACACACCGAGGTGAAGGCCCCACCTGGCCTTCGGCTTCAGCTTCCCACCGCGCTGCTGCTCGGGGACCAGGAACTGCACAATGCAACCCCACACACGGGCCAGCGTCAAGTCGAGCTTCGTGCCGGCCAGCAGCTTATACGGCGTTGTCCCCGGCGGTAGCGACGACCTCTCCGGGCAGTTGCGCACCCGGACGGCCTGGCGCGGAGCGAGGTGCCACCAATGTTACTGCACACCCATGTGCAACAACATCGTCTGCACCGACTCCACCACCGTCCGCATCTCCCGCTCCGCCATGCCGTTCTGTTGCCGTCAAGTCGTGGATGATTCCCTTGCCGTCCATGAATTCGGTGAACTGCTTCCCAGGGAACTCTCTTCCCCGGTCAGAGCGCAGCATCAACACCGACTTCTTCATCTGCCGCTCCACCAGCTGCAGCCACTGCTCAAACTCCCGCAGCACGTCGGACTTTCTCGCGACCGACATCACCCACATGAAGCGAGTCTTGCGGTCCTTCAGCAGCAAGAAGTACACGCTGCCATCTTTGGCAACCACCCAAAACGGCCCGCACAGATCGATGTGCACGACAGCCAGGGTCTCGGCGGCGTCCGAGCCCTTGTCGGGGAAGGTGTGCCGCGCCAGCTTCCCACCGACGCACGAGACACACGTGGAGTCAGTGCCGACGGACGGCTGGATGGCCAGGCCGATGGCAACCTCGTGCTTCGCCGAGCTCCAAATTGTGTCGACGCCGACGTGCGCGAGCCTCGCGTGCCACCTGACCGGTGTTGACTTCGTCGCCGAGACAATCGCCCGCAGAGCCACCACCGCAGTCGACGCTGAGTTCAGCAAGCTCACCGAGCAGGGACGAAGGTCGGTGCAGAGGACCCGGCCGGTATACCTCGCCCGACCGAGCATGTCCCCTGCCGCCGTGACGAGCAGCATCTCGTCGCTGTCAGCTTGCAGCTTCGCATCGCTCTCCTACAGCTAGCCGGCTGACAACAGGTTTGCCTGCATGCCCGGGACGAAGAGTACATCGGGAACGAGTACCTGCTTCCCAACCTCCCCTTGCAGAGCACAGTGTCACGGCCTTTGATGGTCTGCAGGGCCCCGTTGAAGCCGCGCACGTGCTTGACATCGTTTCTCTGCTTCAAGTCAACGAAGGCCTCCTTCGTCCCCATCAAGTGGTGCAAGCAGCCGCTGTCTAGCAGGACCACCGCTAGGTTTGCTCGCCTGCACGGCTGCCGCCACCGCCTGGAAGTCCTCACCGGCCTCCGGCGCCACCGAGACGGTCAGCTCCACGGCACCGACCAGCAAGAAGGATGCCTCCCCGTCACCTCGCCCCTTGCCACCTGAGGAGGAGTCAGCGTCCTTCGCCGAGGTTGACTTGGTCGACTGCTTCTCCTTGCGCGGCTTCTCATCCCGACGCCGGCGATCGTTGGCCGACCTCCCGCGGCCTCCCTTTTGGTCGTCGTTATCAGAGTCGTCGTAGTTGGGGCTCTCAAGGAGAGGTGGTCGGGATCGCCGCACAGCTAGCACTCCCGGCATTGACCTCCTCCTCCACGACCGCTGTCTTTGGCGGACTTCCCCTTGTCGGCGTCCTTGGCCGGCTTTCCACCTCCGCTACCACCGCCGCCAGACTTGCGGCGCTGCCCCGGTCGGCCACCTTGCTTTGTCGGGGCGGCGTAGTTTACATGCTGCAGGAGCTCTGTAGACCTTTCGGCCTCCTGCATTGCCTCGTCTTTGAGAATGTACGAGGTCAGCGAGTCCTTGTTGAGCGACTCCCTCATACCCGACACCACCATCAGCCGCTTCATCAGGTTGTAGCTGCTCGGGAGCCCCTTCAGGACGTGCGTGATGCACGACGCCGTTGAACACTGCACGCAGGCCATCCTCATGTTGGCGAGAAGTCGTCGAGCCCAATTGCAGTAGTCGGTCGCCGTCTCCTGCTCGCCCATCCGCAGATGCGTCATCTGCTCCTCGAGCTGGCCGATGTACAGGTCGTCAGTGACCTGGTACATCGACGTGATGAACTGCCACGCCCGGCGTTTAGGTGACTTCGGCATAACTTCAGGGCGATCTGCACCACCAACGAGCAGCACAGCAAGATGACCGTGAAGGTCAGTAGGTGCACGGTGCCGAACTCCCCACGCAGCTCGGCGTTGCTCTCAGGCGGCGTCTCCATGGTGCCGTCAGCGAAGCATATCAGCCCGGCCCTCTCAAGCTGGGGTTCGATGGATTCCTTCCACGTTAGAAGGTCGTGCCGTCCGACCAACGGCGACGTTACGGCGAACTTGTTCGGCGTGAACTTGAAGTATCCGTAGGTCGGCGCAATCCCTCCGGCAGTCACATCGGCCGCCGACGACAGCGTCATACTACTCCGACTTCCACCGACGTCGCCTTGCGAGGAGCCCGCATCTGTCGAAGACCACAGCCCTCGCACCTGAACGCCGCTAACTTCACCGTCGGCCGGCCAGAACATACCTCTCTGCCTCGACGTGCCTCCCGCACTGCTGCCGACTTGGTCACCGTCGTCGACGCGCACGCCGACGCCGCCTTCGTTGTTCACCGGTCGAGGAGCATGTCGAGAAGGGTTTTCCGCAGCCCACTTTGCGCGGATGCCCAGCTTGACGACCTCCGAGGGGAGGGCTGTCCCGAACTTGCCAACCTCGTGGCATCTCCTCGTATGAGTCAGCCGTGTCTCCAGGGTATCCAGTATGCCTACATCACCTACGGCGCCCACCATGGTGACTAACACAGACGAGATAGGTAGTGCGAACCTAAGTCGGCTAAATTGAAGGTATCGTTGCGGTGCCTTCCACGCTCACCGCACCATGCGGAGATAACTCGTACAACGGGAGCTTGATTACGGGACAGGCACGGTTGTAAGGGTGATCTCTGCAACAACGACAACAAATGACCATATGGTTGTGGGTGACCTAATCGTGCGTTGGGGACTACCCAGAGCAGTGCAAAGTCACCGGAACCAAGTCGGGGATCAAGACAAACTACCCTTGTCCCAGATTCCCCGCACCAAAGGAGGAGCTCAACAACATGGACTGCCCACTACTGTTTCGGAAGGATGAACGTCAAAAGGAGCTCATTGGCGAGATGGAACGCGCGCATACAAATGAAGCACGAGAGGGGCTCGAGCGAGATCACAACACCCACTGCATCCATGTAAGCATCATATAGTTTGCGAGAATTGTTGTGGTCATTTTGTTGTGATGTTGGTATGGACGTTTCGGTCGCAATCTAACGCGTCCACACCGGTTGGCTTTGTGCAGAGCGCCCTGTGGGGATAGCGTAAAATCCTTATCGGCAAATCACATCCGACTTAATGCACATGTCGCTCTTAGGTGTGTACAAGCACATCTTGGGAGGTCCCAAGTCGAAGTTCAGTACAGAGACACTGCACAAGCTCGATGCTTCGCTTTGCACCATCACCAAGTACAGCAGACAGTCGTTCTTCCGACTTCCGGCACACATTGATGGTTATTTCACTGGGCATACCACTTTCAAGGCTTTCCATCATCAGGCGGTCATGCAAGTGTTGCCAGTGCTCCTGCTGATGGCCAATGTCGATGGCAAGACAATCCGTGCAGTGGAGTTGTTTTGCCAATGGCACTCCGAGGCATGGCATCGGACGTACCACGACGACGATTCGTTGAAGAACTTGGACGAGATCACACGCACGTGACAACAATTTCATTCCTATTATATAATGTCTATAAATCATGGTCTCTTAACTCATGTACCTCTCAGAATCACTAGGCAAGAATGAATGAAAGGAGAGAGAGGTTTGAACTAGCAGGCAGTTGAGTACAAATAGCAAACCCTAGATTGGGCTGTACTCGCTATAGAGTACCCCACTGCAGGCTAGACAATAATAGCATTCTGACACACCCCCATAGCCAAAGTGGGGTGTAATCAGCAGAGCAAGCAAAGCAGTACAAGCTCAGGGTGGATCACAATGTCACCACACATTCTGAGCACAAGTTCAAGAAGCAATAGTTTAAAGTTCACAGTTATGAGCAAAGCTAGAGGCAGTCACAGAGGGCAAGCGAGGAGGAGGAGGGCTGGCGAGAGGAGAGAAGATGAAAGGCGCCGACTGAAGCTGCAGACACACGGGCAACAGGAGCGGCGCGCACAGTGGCTACCGAGCGCACGAGGGCACCGGACTACGGGAGTATCTGGCTCCGCGGCTACGACGAGCACACACAGGAGCAACGGACCCACAGGCGACTGGCGAAGCAGGCTCGCTGGGCTACCGAAACGCGCGAGGGCATCCGGACTACTGGCGCTGCTGGCGTCACGACGGCTACCTCCACGCAATCTCCCCCGACCGTCCCACGCCCCTCTCACACACCCCCTGCTGACACCCTAGCTCCACTCCGACGGTACCCCCCTTAAACCCCAAACCCTAGGCTCCCACACACCACCCCCCTCAGCGGCAGCTGTAGCAGAGGGAGACGAGGGAGGAGGAGGAGCAGGGGGAGGAACTCACAACCGACACCCCCATAGCCGCCACCCCCACACTCTTCACCCCCAAACCCTAATTTAGGAGAACGGGCTGTAGGAGGGGTGAGGCGCCGGTAGAAGCACGGGGGACAGTGGAGAGGGCAGGAGCAGCGAGGAACGGGCCGCCCACGGGCCTGGTAGAGCCGCCCGAACCGCGCGCAGGCGGCCCGAGCCGCGCGCGGGCCTGGCGCTTCCCGTACGGGCCGCGCGCGTGCCTGGCGCAGCCCGTACGGGCCGCGCGCGGGCCTGGCGCAGCCCGTACGGGCCGCGCGCGGGCCTGGCGCAGCCCGTACGGGCCGCGCGCAGGCCTGGCGCAGCCCGTACGGGCCGCGTGCCGGGTGTACGGGCCGCGCGCAGGCCACGACGGGCGACGGGGGGCGACGCGCGGGTCCCCGTCGCCCGTCGCAGCGCCTCCCGGGGGCGACGTGCCGAGTGACGGGGCAGGAACCCGCCGCGCGCCTCGGGGCACACGGCGGGCAGAGAACCGCCGCGCGCCTCGGGGCGCACGGCGGGCAGAAAACCGCCGCGTGCCTCGGGGCGCACGGCGGGCTGAAAACCCTAGTTTCGACGCCGCGCGCCACGGGGCGCGCGGCGGACAGGGAGTAGCAGTAGCAGTAGCAGTAGCAGCGGAAGGCTTAGGTGGTGGGCCCACCCACAGGATCGACCCAGGAGGGTCGACCTGCTCTGATAGCATCTCAGAATCACTAGGCAAGAATGAATGAAAGGAGAGAGAGGTTTGAACTAGCAGGCAGTTGAGTACAAATAGCAAACCCTAGATTGGGCTGTACTCGCTATAGAGTACCCCACTGCAGGCTAGACAATAATAGCATTCTGACAGTACCAACTACTCTTTGTTTTTGTTCGTGTAGGTGCAGGTTGGTGCCGATGCTCATGAGTGAATTCAAGGGGGACCAGAAGTTGGAGTTCAACGTCCATACGATTCACGCGATGCTGCATGTCACCGACGAAATCAGGCGTCGTGGCATACTGATTCACTATTGCACGGACGTCCACAAGCATGTGCACATTGCTGTAATGAAGCGCCCGTACCGATCGTCCAACAAGAGGAATGCCGAGGCATCGTTCACTCGGTGTTGCCTCATTCTTAGCCGATCGAGAAGATGACCGCGTCTGTCCAAGGGGAGAGTGATAGTCAAGCACGAAGTGTGGCCCTACAATAGGTCCGCGATTGCGTTGTTGTTTTTCTCCTTAATGTATTCGTCGTCGTCGTCATCGTCGTTCTCGTTGGTGTCCTTAGTCTTGTGTTTGTTGTTGTTGTTGTTGTTGTTGCTATTGTCGTCGTTGTCGCTGTCGTCGTCGCTCTCGTTGTCGCTCGTCATCGTCGTCGTCGGGGTTGTCATTGTTGTTGTTGCCGTCATCGTTGTCATCTTTGGGGTCGTTGTGGTTCTCGTGGTCGTCACATTATCGTCGTCGCCGTCTATGCCGTCGTTGGTGTTGTCGTCGTCGTCTACATCATCGTCATCATCGTCGTCGCCGCCGTCGCCCTCGCTCTCGTCATCGTTCCTCGTCGTCATCGTCGTGGTTGTTGTTGTTGTTGTTGTTGTTGTTGCTGTTGCTGTTGTTGTTGTTGTTGTTGTTGTTGTTGTTGTTGTTGTTGTTGTTGTTGTTGTTGTTGTTGTTGTTGTTGTTGTTGTTGTTGTTGTTGTTGTTGTTGTTGTGAAAAGAAGAACGAGGAATGATTGCATTGAGCAGCATGAGGAGTACAAGTACCAAACCCTAGAATGTTGTACCCCATATAAGCTACCCCACTACAGCCTACACAGACTATAGTGCATAAGTTTGACACACCCCCATAGGCAAAGTGGGGGAGAACAAGGGGTCACAAGACCAGTCAAGCAAAGCAAGGCAAAGCAAGCTCAGGGTGGATCACAACGTCACCACACAGTCTGAGCACAAGTTCAAGGCCACAAGGCCAGTTCACATGCAAGGTTACATATATATAACGCTAAACAAGCAAGGGCAGGTATATATATGTAACAGTACAAGCAAGGTCAAGAAGTAAGCAAGTGAGGCAAGGTAGGCACGAGACCTAACAGAGTACAGAAGCGCTGATGATCACAAGGCGCGAGTGCCTTAGTGAAGATATCAGCAGTGTTGGCCTCAGAGGCCACGTAAGCAAGGCGCAGCTGACCACGCTGCTGCAGCTCACGAGCAAGGAAGTAGCGGAGAGCGATGTGCTTCGTTCTGTGCTCCAGTCTGTGCTCCCGACACAAGGCCAGCATGGCCTTGTTGTCTACGTACAGCACTGGAGGAGAACGAGGCGGCTCTCCCAGGTCAGTCAGCAGGTAGGTGAGCCAGCGTAGCTCCTGTGCAGCCATGGCCCCTGCGTAGATCTCAGCCTCACAGCTGGAGCCGAGAACAGAAGACGAGCGGGTAGACCGCCACGAAACAGAGCCGGAACCAAGGCTGAAGGTGTAACCCTGTGACGACCGCTGCGTAGCCTGGTCGTCGGCCCAAGAAGCGTCTGCGTGACCAGTGAGGACCACTGGACTCTGCCCTCCAAGCACAAGCCCCATGCCCGACGTACTGCACAAGTAGCGCAACACCCTCTTCGCTGCAGCCATGTGCTCTGGTCTGTGTCTCTCAGGAGCAACATAGCATGCCAGAATGCTAAGAGGATATGCTAGGTCAGGTCGAGTGCAGGTCATCAGGTACATGAGGCAGCCGACAAGCTCTGGGTACGGGCCACTCGACTCTACGGACTCATCCGAAGGCAGAGCTGAGAGCGAGTGGCGTGTAGCCAGAGGAGTGGCCTGAGGCGAGGAGTACGTGAAGCCGAAGCGCTGAAGGACCTGCTGCACCATGTGTGACTGAGTCAGGGTAATGGTGCGCCGTGCTCTGTCTCGGGTGATCTGCAAGCCAAGGTAGCTGCGCAGCTCACCCAGGTGTGTGCACGTGTGTCTCTTCTGCAGCTCGGACTTCACGTAGGCAAGTCCAGCAGTGTCAGCTGTAGCAAAGACCAAGTCGTCGACGTACACGAGGATGTAGAACGGCGGCAAGGAAGAGTCGGTGCGCAGAAACAGCGACGGGTCGGCAGTAGAAGGAGCAAACCCAAGAGCCGCAAGTGTAGTCCTCAGTGTGTCGTGCCACTCACGAGGCGCCTGACGGAGACCGTAGACTGGCCGCCGGAGGCTCCACTGGGTGCCAGGAGGAAAAGTCCCAGTGAAGCCAGGTGGGCGGCGCAGCCAGATCTCCTCGTGCAGGCTGCCCTGCAAGAAAGCAGTGCTGAAGTCAAGAGAGTGCAGCTCGTAGTCTCGGTGAGCGGCTATGTGCAGCAGTACCCAAAGAGTGGTCATCTTCGGGGTGGGAGAGAAGGTCTGAAAGTAGTCAACTCCCTGTCGCTGACTGAAGCCACGAGCCACGTAACGCGCCTTGAAGACAGGCGGAGAACCCGGCGGCCGCTTCACCCTGAAAATCCACATGCCACTGACAATGTTCGCCCCAGGCGGGGGAACCTCGTCAACGTAGGTGCCTGTGGACTTCCACGAAGCCATCTCTGCGTCCATGGCTGCCTGCCACTGAGAGGAGTAGGGACCCTCTATCGCCTCCGCGTAAGAGCGCGGAGTCGGGATGTCAAGTGCATCCGGGTCTCCCTCAGGGGCAAGCAGCATGGACACGAGATGAGGTGAAGCAGCAGCCAAGCACTGGAACTCCTCCTGCCTGTCCTCAAGGACGTCCGTGCCAAGAGCACACTCACCCCCGACGGACGGAGGATAGACAGACTCAGACTCAGCGACGAGACTGGCAGCGTAGTCTAGGCGACAGCGAGCAGCGAAGTCAACAAGCTCAGCAACTAGAGCAGACGCAGCAGTAGACTCAAAGAAAGGGTCAGTGACGACAGTAGCAAGGAGACGCGTGACAGTAGGACGCGCAGCACGAAGGGAGTCCGACTCAGGGTCAGGAAGGTCAGGAAGAGAGGACGCGGGAGGAGAAGGCAAAGGGGCACGCAGGGGAGCAATGGAGGGACACAGAGATATCCGGTGCGTGCCGGGGACAGGAGGAGGACGCTGACGCGAACCACGACCACTAGTGCGAGCAGCACGGACAGGCGACGCAGGGCGAGACGCAGGCTCACGACGCTCAGCAAGACCTCCAGTAGGACCAGTGTAGGGAGAGGGAGAAGGAAGCGGGGAGGCCGGCGGTAACTGCGACTCGGACTGGACAGGAGGCGGACACGCTAAGGGAGGAGCAGGACCAAGAGAGGACGGAAGACCAAGAACCTGCTCAAGGAGCGGAACGAAGTACGGCCGCGGCCGCGCAGCTCCACCAGTGCCAGCAGGAACAGCACCAGTACCCCCAACGGGAGCACCAGCACCAGGAGGACCTCCAGCACCCTCAGCAGCCCCAGCAGCGCCAACTCCAGCACCCTCAGCAGCACCAGCGCCAGCAGCACCTCCAGCGCCAACACCCCCAGTAGCCCCAGCTCCAGTCGGACCACCCGAAGACGCAGCAGCTCCAACTCCAGGAGCACCAGCAGCACCAACGCCAGTAGCACCAGTGGCACCTGGCGTAAGGAAGAGCGGCGGGGGAGGGAGGGACGCAGTGCGGTAGGGGAAGAGACGGTAGTAGGGAACCGACTCGTCAAAGGTGACGTCCTGGGAGGACAGAACACGGCGCGAGGTGGGGTGGTAGAACTGCCAGCCAGGCGCGTCAGGAGGGAAGCCAAGGAAGACGCAGGGAACAGCACGAGAGGACAGCTTGTCCGCAGACAAGTCGCGGACAAACGCCCTAGATCCCCAGACACGGAACGCAGACGCATCGCCAGCCTTCCCCGTCCACAGCAAAGCAGGGGAGGTCTCCGGCATGGAGACCCGGGGGTGAAGGTTGATCTGATGCGCCGCGTACCGAACCGCAAACGGCCACAGAAAATGGGGAGCAGCCGCATGGATCATGGACGTACGAGCGACGTCCATGATCATGCCAATGCGGCGCTCAGCAATCCCATTCTGCTGCGGGGAGTCCGGAAGCGTGAAGGTCTGGCGGATGCCTCGTGCACGACAGAAGGCCCGCAGAAGGTCAGAGGAGAACTCTCCGCCTCTGTCGGAGTGCAGACGCAGAACAGGAAAGTCCGAGCCGAAACTCTCCCGGAGCTGGAGACGAGCTGCGCGGATCCAGGCGATCACCACCTCAGTGACCTCACCCTTGCTGCGCAAGGGGAAGACTGCGGTGTAACGCGAGTAGTCGTCAACCACCAGCAGGAAGTAACGCTCGTGACCCTGTCCACGGACGCGGGCTGGGCCCCACACGTCCATGTGAAGCGTCTGCAGCGGAGCCTCTGTCGGAGGAAACTCGGAGGAGTGAGGAGCAGCGCGCTGCCGCCCCTCGACGCAGGGAACGCAGGTGGGGGCAGGCCCCGGAGGAAGGGGAGGGAGGGACCGGGGGAGGCCAGAGACAAGAAGACGGGACGCCATGCCTCGAAGACGAGGCAGGGAGGGGTGACCAAGGCGGTGGTGCCAGAGGAGAGTCCGGTGGGACAGGAGACGACACGAGCAGGGGGCAGACTCAGGACCAGACCTGGACGCCGCAGCAAACACCTGACCCGACGCTGCTACCTGAGCAGACTCAGTGACTGGAGGAGACTCAGTAGTCAGTGTGTACAGGCTCGACCCCGGCCGACGGGTAAACGTGGCCAAGTGTCGGCCCGTGTCCGCACACGTGCAGTGGGTCACCCGCTGACGAGCAGGGGTGAACTGGTCAACTCCTGCATCCTGCAGGTCAGCACCCGCCACCAAGTTCGTAGAGAACGAGGGGAGGTAAAGACCCGACAGGGAGCCAGACGGGACCGCTGGACACGGTAGGACAGTGGAGTAGTGGGCAAGGACAGGACCCCCAGAGGGGTCTGCCAGGGAGACTGCAACGGGCCGACTGAGCGGCGTGAGAGTGGTGCAGTCTCGAAAGAAGGAGCGGGAAGCACCCGAGTCAAGGGTGAAGGTGTGGGTGTCCGGTGACGACGCAGTACCTGAGAGCGCAGACTCACCGGCACCTGGGGCGGCAGACGCACTGGCACCTGGAGCAGCAGCCTCACAAGCACCTAGCGCAGCAGCCTCTATGCCTGGGTCAGGCGGAAAACACCGGTAACAGTCACCCTCATCACTAATAGTCACAGCATACATGGCAGCAAGAATAGCATCATAATCAAGATCAAAGATCGCAACACCCGCCCTAGACAGCTCACCCCCGCGAGGGATCTCAGTAGCGTCGGGGAACTGGTGGCGCCACGCGTCCGTCAGACGGCCGAAGCAGCGCTGGGTGGAGTGCGCGCCCCCACACTGCTCACCCGTCCAATCGCCGGTACGGAGAACGTAGGTACAGGGGCCAGCACCCCCGCCCCGCTGACGAGCAGTGTACCACTCACGAAGCTGCTGGGGGGAAGGGGTCTCACGAGTACGCTGCTGCTGCTGCTGCTGCTGGCGCGCACCACCACCGGAGCCAACCCTCTGCGCAGCGCCACCCCGACCAGCTCCACCTCCTCCGCCGCTACCTCCTCCAGGACCGCCACCTCCGCCACCTCCGCTCCCACCGCCACCGCCGCCTCCACCTCCACCTCCAGTCCCGCCACCGACGCCCCCACCCCCGCCACCACCCCCACCGCCACCCCCACCCCCTCCACCACCTCCACCTCCGCCTCCACCGCCCCCGCCAGCTCCTCCAGCACCCTTGCCCCCCTTGCCCTTGCCAGAGCGGCGTCTCCCGCTAGGGGCAGACGCCGCAGCGACCGACTCAAGACCAACGAGGTCGGCCGCAGCAGCAGAGGCAACAGAGGGCAAGAGGGGAGAGGGGGAGCACCCCTCAAAGACAGGGGCACGAGGGTCACCTCGAGAGGCTCCTACAGCGACTATGCTCTTCTCTGCCGCTAGAAGGCGCTCCTCGAGGAGGTCAACGGTGAGGGTGGTGGGGCAAACAGAGAGGAAGTGGTCCCTAACCGGGCGAAGGGTGTCAGGGAGCCGGGTGACTATGTAGTAGAGGGTGATGTACATGGGGGGGGGTTCTTGGCGCAGAACTCAGCAGGAAGCGCAGCGCGGTAGCGAGTGTCACTAGTGCGAAGGTGCGTAATGAGGTCAGCGACAGTGGGAAAAGCGGCGAGGTCAGGGAAAAGGTACGGCAGGATGAGGCGGCTAAGTGCAGCAGTGGCAGGGGAAGAGTAGCGTGCAACTACAGCGTCGTACAAGGTCTTAGCACTCTTGTACTGGCTAAAGTGCGCACGCTCAGCGGTCGGCAAGTGGCGGCGCACAGCAAGGCGGGCAGCAGCATCGCGCGTGGCCCACTGGGAGCGAACAGTGGGGTCAGCATCAGCAGCAGGGGCAGGAGAGGCACCAGAAGTGAGGTCAAAGAGGGAGAGACCGTCTGCCCTATCGCACTGTAGGAAGAGCTGCAGATCATCTATCCAGACCTCAAAGTCAACAGCTCGACCCTCAGCGTCAAAGGTGAGAACACTGGGGGTGGCCATGACAGCAGTGTGAGCAGTAGGCTAAGGGCAGTGCAGTGACAGAGGCGCTGCTCTTACCGGGCAGGCGAGAGAGACCAAGACTTGCCGGGAACGGCGGCTCGGCGGCAACTGCGGCTCGGCGGCTCGGCGACACCGGCGACTCGGCGGCTCGGCGGCTCGGCGGCTCGGTGGCTCGGTGGCTCGGCGGCTCAGCGGCTCGGCAGCAACGGCGGCTCGGCAGCTCGGCGGCTCGGCTACAACGGCGGCTCGGCGGCTCGGCGATCCGGCGGCTCGGCGGTTCAGCGACTCGGCGGCTCTGTAGTAGGGCGGCGTCGGGGTCGCGAGGGGCGGCAGAGCCGCGGACAGGCGGCGGCGTGGTCGCAAGGGGCGGCGACGGGGCTGAAAGGGGGCGGCGACAAGGCCGCAAAGGGCGGCGACGGAGGCCGTAGGAGGCGGCGACGAGGCCGGAAGGGGGGGGGGGGGGGGGGGGGGGGGGAGGGGGCCGCAAGGGACGGCTACGGGGCCGCGAAGGGGGTGCGGCGACGGGGCCGCAGAGGGCGGCGTCGGGGCCGCGACGAGCGGCGCCGGGGTTGCGTAAGGGTGGCGACGGGGGGCCGCCAAGGGAGGCGACGGGGTCGCTAAGGGCGGCGACGGGGCCGCTAAGGGTGGCGACGGGGCCGCTAAGGGCGGCTCACCGATCGCGTCTCGGGCAGGGGCGATGTGCGCCCCGGGCAGAAAAAAAAGAACTCGATATTAGTGGGCCCTTGGAAGAAGTTCCCACGAGGGAACCTGCTCTGTTACCATGTGAAAAGAAGAACGAGGAATGATTGCATTGAGCAGCATGAGGAGTACAAGTACCAAACCCTAGAATGTTGTACCCCATATAAGCTACCCCACTACAGCCTACACAGACTATAGTACATAAGTTTGACAGTTGTTGTTGTTGTTGTTGTTGTTGTTGTTGTTGTTGTTGTTGTTGTTGTTGTTGTTGTTGTTGTTGTTGTTGTAGTTGTTGTTGTTGTTGTTGTTGTTGTTGTTGTTGTTGTTGTTGTTGTTGTTGTTGTTGTTGTTGTTGTTGTTGTTGTTGTTGTTCTCGTCGTCGCCGTCGTCATCGTAGACATTGTTGGATTCGTCGTCGCCGTTATCATCACCGTCGTTGTCGTTTTGGTTGTTGTTGTTGCCGTCGTCATCGTCGTTGATGTTGGTGTTTTTTTGCAGTTCTTGTTACCGACCATTGTTTTTATTTGTTTATTGTACACATATTATTATTGTTGTAGCTGACATTGTTGTTATTTTGTCCTTCATCAAGCATATTCACTACATCTTATGTTGCATGAGCTGGCAATTGAAACCGGGCATGCAACAGGGACTGGGGCGTCATCGCGGATAATGTTAGGAGACCCAAACGACAAGAACTTTAAGGCGTATAAGTCGAGCAGCCGGGGCGATTTTTGCCAGCTGCAAGGTAGTATCAAGGGATATCTTCAGCGGGAGCATTCCGACACGCATACGAAGGTGCACTACCATCACGTGACCGAGCTTCACGGCGGTGTCGCTGTGCCGCCGGACTACGATTTCACGAGATATAGCAGATACCCACAGTATGGTCGCGCCACTCCAATGCTATACGGGATGCCCTAGTTTTCCGATGTCGACGTCAAGGGTAAGGACGACAACAACGTGAAGCAGGTTTGGTGCGCGAAACTATTTGGCATCTTCACGTTGCAGCGGACAGTGCAAACACTGAGCGTTGAAGGCAACATTACGGAGGATCAAAATTCGGAGGAGCTTGCATTCTGTCGTTACTATGGCACTACAGCACAGTCTGCAAGTACTGACATGAAGACGCTGAAGTGGTGGCCATCAAGCCGAGGTTGTAGAGTGGTGCCGGTAGAGAGCATTTCGCGTGTGATTCATGTCGTGCCCAAAACATCAGATCCGGCTCATCCCGACGTCAAGTTTGTGTGGAATCATTTTAGATGGTGGTGTGTCTGATAACTCATTCTGTGAATAGTATAGTTGTACATATGCATTAAATTGTACATAATTTTTATTGGATTTCATTTTAATTCCAAGAAGATAATGAAGCAATCAGATAAAGTTGCATCTGTGAAGTGAGACGCGTCACTGTAACCAACTCGAGAAACTGCATAGTACAATTATCCGATAACCGTTTACCGAATAATTGTGTACACGCGAGTTTCCAGAAACGTCATACATTTCCGTTGCTGCATTCTGTTGGGGGCACAGACGACAACTCATCCGATAATCCAACTTGAACAACTGGGCTAGCATCGTGAGCAAGATGAGACAATTGAAACTTTTTGTCTTCCAGTAGGTGTGTAGCTTTTCCCTTCGACAATCAATTAAGTATTTACTGTTTCTCTATCAGCGTGAAGGAATTACTTAGCACCGATACAAACGATGGGATTGCGTGCACGAATGTCGAGTATGGCAGTGCACATTTCAAGCCTAAGTAAAAACGTGGGAGAAACTTCATTTGCGCTGGTTCTAATCAAGACAAACACCGCTAACCTCGACTCCGCTTGCACAGCTGTCGCAACCCCAATTTGGCTCCAGCGAGTCACACCATTACAATTTGCATCCCTCCATGTTGACGTGGGCTGCGAGATAGCCACGAACCCACCCTCCTGGTCGAAAGTACAGTTTCCACTGTACCTTCTGCCCGATATGGGCGTCTGCCCGTATGCGCAACTCTGTGGATGGGTGACTTTTTGAGTGTGGTGATGTACACCTTGTCAGACCCAGAAACAATCACATGTAACTGCTATCCACTATTTCAAACGCGACAAATACAGCAACCAAATTGCAGCTGTCGATAAACTGTGAGCACTCCAGCGGAGCATGGTTCCAGCACTTCATCTCTCCCTTAGCCCCCTCACCTCCCGTGCCGTAATCTCTGTTGCTTGAGTGTTGTGTCTGAAATTTAGAATTTCAAATTTCATGTTTTGAAGTTCTCTTCCT